TCTAGCTACAATTCTGCTAATTTTACTCATCTTTTCAAAGAGCCAAGTATTGATCTTATTGATTTTCCCTATTGTTTTTCTAGTCTTTATGTAATTTAATCTCTGCTCTTATCTTAATTTTCAAATAGGTTTATTTTAATGTGTGAAATTATGTCTCAATAAAGTTTATTTTAAAAGTAAAAAAATAACTCTACCTAGTTCAGATCTAGTAAAATACTGTTGAGAGTTAGCAAATGAGTAAATGATAAGCAAAGGAGTGAATGGCTCACATTTAAAACCAAGTCTTTGTCACGGGGTACAGAGCATGGGTCTCCTGATAACAGAGGGACAACCCTCACAATCCTGTCTTCAGGCAGGATTTGGGGCAGGAAGGGTGTTCACAGAACAGAAAGTACAGAATTTAAGACACATTCATAACAAAGGCAAGGTTAACAGCTGCTCCTTCCTGGAAGAAAGATCTCAGAATGTGCAGAATTGTGTATGACATGACTGTGAGAATGTGCAGTGACTTCTGTCATAGCAAGGAGGCAGATGCCCATGCATCACTGGGGACTCTTGCCCTAACTAAAGATGGCAGCCAAAAGAGGGTCAAAGACACTGGGGAGGTGGCAAAAATGGCAGACCCTAACATACCATAGGAAGAGCCAGATATGCAGTCACATTGGAAGTTCTGAGTCAAGCATTTAAATTAGAGTAGGCTGAAGGTCAGGAGGGAAGCCATGAGGAGAGGAGGAAGTCTGCCTGGGGAAGACAGAGACAGAGCTGGTGGTGGTACAGGAGCTTGTCTGGCCAAACAAAGACACATGAGAGATGCCTGGAGCTGAACTGTGAACAGGAAAGCTTAGCTGCAGACTTCTGCTTCTCTGAAGAACTTACTGAGAAGTCACTGTCTTGGTATGGGGACTCTTGGTACGGACTTTACAGGTTGGTTCAAGCTCTTTCTCTCTGGGCTTTTGGCATTTGGACATATGGGCTTCTGGCCCTGCTACCTGAATGAACAGGAATGCTCGTGGGACCAGGAAATGCAGGGCCCATCATGGGCTTAGACCTTGCAGAGGATGGGACCCCACTCCTGGAGGTAGGGTCCTGGGCTGGGACAGTGTAACACTGCACATGGTTTTCTGATCCACTACATGGAAGCTGAGAACAATATACCCCAGGTCCTAAAGGAGAGAGCAGCTGCAAGAGGATGGCAACTCTGAAGCCTACAAGTGCACATTCCAGAGAGGATGGAGATCTGTTTGCAGGACTGATGGACAGACAAGGATATGGGGAGCTTCTGAGCATGGTTTTGGCTTGTAGCCTTTTGGGGAGTAAGGAAAGCATTGGGTCTTTATTAACAGGGTACCCCCAAGGTAGGAACCCTGTTAAATAAAAACCTGTTTTCTTCAACAAAAATTGTTGGGTTATATGTAAAGGTGCCAAGTGGCCAGGCCCCAGTTTGCACAGTTACAGCCTTGCTTCTCTCTTCAATGTCACAAGCATTTTTAAGTGGTCCTTGCCCCACTGGTTGATATAACTCATTGTTTTTTATTCAGCAGCTGTTAATGGCATATAGTGTTCTAGATACTTTCCAAATATTACTTCATCCCATTCTCATTGAAGCTAGTGTTATTATCCTCACTTCGCTCACGGGCATAAAAACAAGATCTGGAATGATACACAAGCTCGAGCGCCTAATGTATGACAGAGGCAAGTATCAAGTTCACTTGAATCTGACTCTAAATCTATGGTCTCTTCCCTCTCATCCTTTCTGATTTTGGTGTTTCGGGAAATAAAATACCAAGCTACAAAGCTCTGTGACTCCATCTCACAATTTAAAGACAGAGACAGAGACAGAAAAAGAGAGACAGAGATATTAACCATTACTGAGGCAGGTTTATGGCAAGATGCTCAGAAATGTGATGCAGCACTCAAATGTGACATCGGCAAGAAGATCCCCTAGATTCCACTCTCAACACAGGTTAGGAACTGAAAAACCTTTTAGTGTCACTCAGCACAAAAAAAATGAGCCCAAATGGCCCATTTTATTTTATTTTATTTTTTACCTAACATGAATACTCCCTCAGAAAAAAGATGCATTAGCTGAGCTCAATGACGGCTACTATTCAACACAGAATTCCTTTTTGGGAGATGTTAGCAGTAAGTCCCACTGTAGGTAGCTGAACCCTCTCATCCCAGGTATATGGCAGCCTACACAACCTAAGCCGTACCAGGATTCCCCTCATGCACAAAACACACTGCGTAAATGATAGCACTGAAGCTTAGGAAAACTAATAGTCACTCTGTCTCTCCAACAGTGCCATGTGACCCCAAAAGTCCAGGCTACCTGACCAAGCACACGAGGTCACTAGTTCTCTGCTTCCAGAGGGCTGGTGGCAGTGATCCCTGTTCTTAGAGAGATTCCAAACAGAAAGGACTGCATAGTGTTGAAACTAAGAGCATAGTGTTAATATTCCCTTGAGGGATGTGTCCTATTTTTATAAGCTTCTACTATCTACTTAAATATTTAACTCGTTACTCAAGTGCATACTATTTCTTTAATAAATATACTATGCTGTGCTAAAAAACATATTTAACTCATTAGTCCATCAAAATACTTAGTGAGCACCTACTGTCAAACTGGAAGAAAATATTTTTTTACACATGAAGAGATAACTGCTTCTCTCTCTCTCTTTGATAACTGCTTCTTAAAAGCAATAATTGATATGTGACTGATGAGCCCACCCACTATAAAGAATATATTTGTTCAGATTAAGTACTTAGTGTCCAAAGGAAGTTTTGTAGCAGTATCTGAATATAGAAAACAGGACCCTGGGAAGCATCCCATGAAAGGTAGATTGCTACTTGCAAAGACGAAGGCTGAGTCTACTTGACCATGGATCTCTACTAATTCTTCTCGTGGCTTCCTCCTTACCAAGTACTTAAGGACTCCTAAAAACCAACCCTGGCTTCTCTTTGTAGGTATTGCACATAAATCTCGACCCCTACTTACTAGCTGCATGACCTTGGGCAGGTCATTTAACCTCTCTGAGCTTCGGGTGATGAATTTGCCACCTGAAGGTAACATCAGCTAGCAGTTTGTTTGGGGGATTGAAAGACGACATGCATACAAAAGGAACAAACACAGGGCCTGGGAGAGAAAAGCCAGTCAAAAAAACATTACTTGCTTTTGCCTGTTCAAAATTTTTCTTTACCTAATATCAAGGCATTGTAAATGTAGGGGGAAAAGAGGAACTGAGTGGGAGAAAGGCCTGAAATCCATTCTCGACTTTACCACATAACCAGCTGTGTGGTCTGGGGTGAATAATTTTGGTTTGCTTCAGTTGGTTTCTCTGTGAAATGAGGAGGATGGCCGTGAACTCTAAGGTTCTTTCCAGCTCAGTAATTCAAGACTTTGTATTGTTGCCATCATCCAGGGACTGTTTTCTCATACAGAGCATTGAAGAAAGATGAGCAGCACTGACTTATGCTCCCTCATCACCTTTTTCATTGCCCGGAGAGTGTCTGGAAAATGCCGTTTTTCTGGAAAGTACTTTAGACTGACATGGCTCTGACTCAGGCGTCGGACCACTAGTCTCCCACAGGATTTTCCAAATTGTCCCCTAGAGGCAGCAAGGGTACCACACCTTACCAGAGGACAGGTGACCTGGCAGGGCCGCCCCCAACCCCAAAAGAAAAGGACTCTGGGAGTAGGTTCTTCACCAGCCCTCTGTAGCTGTGTCCAGAAAAGAACATGGATGGTGGATTTCCACCTTTCAAGGTGCAAAGAAACATTTTGCCGTAACTTTTCAACCCCAAGTGGGACTTCTCCTGAATCAGGAGCACATCCTTCACAGGTGGGGAAACACTGCCACCTGCTGGCTCTCTGCTTTTTTACACCAAGAACACTTTCCAAGGCCAAAGCAATGGACTCACTAAGGCAGCCTATCTACATATATCATAAAATATCGATAGTTTCAAATGTATCCATTCTGAATGTATAATGAAATCTTGAGAGCCTTATGGAATAAAAGTTCAAAATAATTCCTCTATCGATATTCAAGGTCACACACCTAAAAGAGATACTGACTAAAATTAGTAGCCAGGGATATTTGAGGATTCCTTCAACAATAACTTGATTATCTCATGTATGTATACTAGGCATTTTTTAACATGTAGGGATATTTTAAGCATATTGTGTCATGTAATGCTGAAAGAACTTTACTTGGAACTTATTAATTCACTGTTTACATATACAACAAGAGAAAATAAAACTGCATTCTTGTTAACACTTCTGGCAGTTGGTACTATCAGTAATGCAGATTTGCCCTTATTAATTTACACTATTAGGCTCTGTGAGTAACCTTCCTTTATTGGAATGGTGCAGAGGTTAAAAGTTAATACAGATATAAATGAAACAGGCTCTGCACTTCTATCAGGAAAGTGGTTTGAGGCTAAGAGTTCCAGAGCAATTTATTTGAAATGGCTTTTGCGTTTCTCCACCACTAACAGTGCCTTCGGGTCTGGAGCCTGGTTGGCTTCCCTCCCCACCTTCGTTCAAGTTTGTGTGTCGCCCGCATGTGTGTCTACAGGGATGCACAACATCTGATGGATGTCGAAGTGGCCATCTTTCCTTTCACCTTGAACTTGGTCCATGATAGAAATAATGTTTAGATTTTTATGCAGACAGATTATTTAGTTCCACGTTGTGTTGTGTTTCTCCATTTTGAATATAGATTTTGGCTTTACACTTTCATAACTGAAAGGTCCATTGAAATGTTTCATTTGGCTCTGTTTGTTGCTCCATCTCTAGAATAGCAAGAAGTAGAAAAAAACTTCTTGGCATTTCTAGCCAATAAGGTTTTTAAAAATATTGGTGTTCAGTCTCAGATTACCCCACTTCATAAGCCTAATGAGGCAAGAAACACCCACCTCCACCTCCTCTCCCCCTGGTGTGCCTTTCTCATTGCTTTCAAAAGACAGTATTCTCCAAAGTTATTAAAACCTTTTTAATGCAGATGGAGATATGCTCCTGACATGGATGGAAAGGAGACCAGTGGTGCTGAGATCCCCCTTCCTCCACTGCAGAGCCTCCTCTGGATGTCCCAACAAGATGAGAACACTCTCCGTGGGTGGTCAAACCACTCACAGGACTCACCGGTACACCTGGCCTTGAACACACACTGATCTCCTAATAGGTAGGGACCAGCATCCTCTTATTTACCAGACTGGGCTGCATGCTCTCCACTTTGGGAAGCAGTGCAGTGGAAGGGACATAACCCAGACTTTGGAGAGCTGCGCCAGGCTTACACTTCTGCCACCTAACTGTTCTTACTGAAGGCACAAAGATAAAGTAATTACACATTCTGTTTATAGAACACTTGTATGTCAAGCACTGTGCAAAATACCTGGCATGAAACAGCAGAACTGATGCTCACACCAACCTCTTTATTATCAGCATCCCTTCATACAGATAAGGAACTGAGACAATGGATAGGCTAAGTCATTTTCCCAAGGCAACGAAGTTCAGAGAGAGTAGGGCCTCACACAAAAGCAGATATGACTCCAGAGGTGGAACTTATTGTGTGACATGGACTCCTCAACCCAGGAACTGCCTGGCAAATAGGAAATAGGAAATAAATCAGAAGCACTATGTCAGCCAAGCACATAGCTCAGCTTTGAGATATCTGACTTTCCCATTACTCTTGACCTTGTGCTCTATACAGAACAGGCTTTAAGAGTTATGTTTGACTTGCTGGCATGCTTGTTTGCTTTAATGGATATTCCAATAATGCATACATGCATACATACATACATATGCACTTAACCTGAGTGTTCCCTGGGGCTGCTGTCACAAAGTACCAGAAACTGGGTGTTTTAAAACAACAAAAATGTATTACCTCACAGTTCTGAAGGCTCAGAACCTAAACTGAAGGTGTGGATAGAGCCACACTCTCTCTGAAATGCAGTGGTTTGTGGCAATTTCTGGCATCTCTTCACTTATAGATGCATCACCCCAATCCTCCACCTTTGTAGAGTGTTCTTCCCGTGTCTGTTTTCACATCATACCTTCTTGTGAGGACACTATTCATATCCATTGTGGACCTGCCTTATTCTGGTGTGACTTTGTTGTAACTAATAACATCTACAATTACCTTATTTCCAAATAAGTTCACACTCTGGGGTACTAGGAGTTAGAGCTTTAATGTATCTTAGGGGATACTTTCAACACATAAGAACCATCTCTCTTTATATCCACACCCAGATAATCTCAACTGACCCCTGAGAACCTAGAACCAAAGAGACCTGGGTTAAATAGGCATGTGTCCTTGGAAAAGTGACTTAAGTGGCTGAGGCCTAGTCTCCTTATCTGGAAAGTGAGGGTATTCACAGCACCCACGCCAGAGAGTTGCTGTGCTCCTCAAATGGAGTAAGATACACAGCACACTGAGCATTGTGCCTGGCACACAGTCATGCTTCAGTCCCACTAGGAGGGGTGGGTTCCTGGGCCTGAGTCCCCACTGGGAAGCACCACCACCGGATCGGCTCTCACCCCCTAGCAGACTGAGATGCGGAGCCTTCAGGTAGGCAACACTGTTCCCAGTCCTTCCTCCAAACTCCTCTGCTCCCTTTTGAAAAAGAGTGAATGACATCCGCCTACCCATAACACAGTCAGAATAATCACTGTGATTTAAAAGTTAGAAGTTTCATGAGCTTGGCATTATGCTTGGAGATTCAGCAGCTCAGACTATGCTGACTTGGCCTTTTGTCATTGCCAAATCTGGCTTCTGTGACACAAAAACCTGCTGCAGCATGAAGCTGTCACTGAAGCGACTGCAAGGCGAGGGAAGCAGAAGACAGTGGTTCCCACGTGCCTGCTGCAGGAGCCAGCGAGGAAAATTAACCCACCTCGTTCATCACGGGTTTGCATCCAGAATCTTCAGCTGACAAAAATGATAATCATTTGGTTCATTGATTCTGGGATTAATCACTGAAGTTAATCTTGGCATGTATTGATTCCATTTCTGCTGGCTGTAACTAAAGTGTTCAAATTACTTATTCCCACTCTGACAGCAATAGGTTCCGCAAACAAAGGAAGTCAAAACTAAGCTATTACACCTGACAGCTGTGAACAGCCCCCAGTGACAGCTGTGACGGCGCACCCCACAGCAGGAGGAGCCCCTGATAGGGAAGGATCAAGCACCTGTTCTTGCTATTACACACACTGGCATTTTACAAAGTTGATCCAAAAGTGTCTAGAAGAAGTGAAGGAAGTTTTATCTCAGAGAATCTCAGCTCGAAACTTAGCTGCAAAGGCAAGAAAATCACGGAGGCAACAGAGTAAAACAGGCACATTTCACCAACCTGACTTCTACCAGGAAACATCAGTATCTATTACCTTGAAATCCTCCGAAGTTTCCTGGTGCTGACCATTAGCCAAAAGAAGCTTCAAGTACAGTTTCCAAAGAGACAACGTACTGCACTCACCCCTCACTTATCCGGTCACTTGATCTTCAAAGCTGAGAAGCAATGGACTGGCTTTTATGGAGCATTCTTCTGTGTGGCCTTTTGAAAGGGATCTAAGGAGGCTTGCACCCCGGTGCTGTAGCTGACTAGTGTTTCCAAGTCACCCCTCACAGGAACACTACTCAGCACTAGAAGGATACAGTATTGGAGGCAAAGCTACTTTCACAAAAGGTAGGCAAAAATCTCAAAATGTAGCAACAGTGAGCAAGGGCCAGAGTGATAAAAATGATGGGGGTGAAAGTGGATAATTATTGTGAGGGGCTGTCCTTCGCTTGCAGGATATTAAACAGTATCTTTGTCCTCTAGCCACTAAATGCAAGTGGCACCACAACCTCCCTCCCCGTTTTTACAAAGAAATGTTTCTAGACATCGCCAAATATCTCAAGGTCGGGGGAGGACAAAATCACCCCCAGTTGAGAACCATTAATTTAACTTTACACATTTTAAAACTAAACATATATGGTAAAATTTCCAGGATAACTACTAAAGTAGAAATACACTATATAAATTCCAAACAAAGAGAGAAAGTAATTTTTTAGAAAACTCAAAATAAAGCAAAACACATAAAAATGGGATAGCTACACATCAGTTTCATGACTACAGGAAACAAGTCCAAATCTGTTTATCATAATATAAGGTTTCACTTCCACAAAGGTGGCATGAGAAATTCTTGTCTCGAAGGGAAAAATCGTAATGAGGGAAACATTAAGTAAAAACATTTAAAGTAGCCCTGACTGGTGTGGCTCAGTGGATTGAGTGTAGCCTGTGAACCAAAGGGCCGCTGGTTCAATTCCCAGCCAGGGCACATGCCTGGGTTGTGGGCCAGGTCCCAGTAGGGGGCATGTGAGAGGCAACCGTACATTGATGTTTCTCTCCTTCTTTCCCCCTCCTTTCCCCTCTCTCTAAAAATAAATTTAAAAAATATTAAAAAATTAAAAAAACACTTAAAGTCTCTAAAACGTGTCCTAAGAACACGCAGAAAATAAAAATATTTATTTAATACCACCTAGTAAATCTTGATGAAAACTGTGAGACATTATGGCACTTGAGACATGATATGCTCCCTCCCTCCCCCTTATCCCTCAGCTCAGTGTGACAAAATCACAGGGAATGGCAGACTGTGTTAAATGACACTTTGGGGATGCAATCAGCCAATTCCAAAATGTTAGAAATTTGCAGGAACTATAACCAATAACACTGTAATAACTGTGTATGGTGCCAGGTGGGTTTTGAATTAGCAAGGGATCACTTTGTAAATTGGGCAATTGTCTAATGACTATGAGGTACAACTGAAACTAATATAAAATAATATATTAAAAAAAGAAATTTACAGGACAAATGGCATTATTTCTCCAGTGTATAAATGACAAGTAAAGAAACAAACAAACAGGCAACAGCCTGATTTCTCTGCCTGATCCGTGTTGCTTCAAGGATTCTGATTCCATTTTCTACTGCCAGGACTGAGGCTCCCCTTTGGCTCAGCCAGCCTCCCAGTCACCTCTTCTGGGTCCTGTGAGGGCTTCATAGGTCATCACCTCATTCAAGGAGTCTAAACAAATAGAACCAAAATGAATGTGCGGCCTTCTGCTGGGTACACTCTGTTCATCTGGTCAATTCGGTATGCACATGTCAGATTTGGACTCACTGCAGATTCTGAACCATAATGGAGACAAACCTGAGAAACAAGATAATAATCATGGGAAATGAAAGAGCTGAGAGCATCCCAGAAGAGAGGAGCTGGAACCTTGGATAAACTCTCCTGAAACCCTGGAACATAACTACTTTCAGTTGTGTTAGCTAATACATTCCCTCTATTTCCAAGCCAGTTTGACTTGAGAGGCTGAATACCTTGCAGAAATCTTGCCATGGGATTTGAACGTGGGTTATGTCTGGAAGTAGACACTGTGCTCTAAACCAATGAATAATACCACCTCTCTGAGGAACAGGCCAAGAATGAGGAGTCGAGTAGGCCCTTTATCACACACCAGTTTCCTAAGTGATCAAGTCACCATCCACGTTGAGGAAGAGAATAGCAGGCATTCGAAGGCATGAAAAACACAGCTAAGTCATCAGACATCAGACTCATTGTTTTCTTTGTTAGTAATTAATACATGCACTTGATAACTTTTAAGTTTTTGGTGCTCCTTATGATTATGTTAAGTTATTGTATCTATTTTTCTGGCCATTTTTCATTCCTGTCTTCAGATTCATTCAACTGTTCAAGTACATAAATATGTATCATTTTCCTACTGTGAGGAAGTAGGCAATGTTCAAAGTGAGGCCGACTCAAAGGCCAACAACTGTGGGCTCTTCCCAAAGGAAGTCGTGGCCTAAAAGAGGCACAGACACCACGTCAAAAAAAATCCTCCAACGGCGTCCTCACTTCCATGAAACTACTGCACACATGGGGGAAGGTGTGGATCCTAACAAGTGAGAGTCACTCAAGCCCCACAGTTTGTCATTGTTTCCCCACAAGTTAGACAATCAGCAGATCCCCCCAAAGTGATATGATACACATGACACGTCATTTTTCCTTCATTTAGACAAGATCAGCCTGCACACTCACATTAGATACCATCTAACAAGGCAAAATAAACTCTTACCTTAAAAGAGGGCAATAAAAAGGAGTGGCAACAACATAGAAATTTGCCTCAGCTTCTAAGTTTCCCCT